CCAGAAGAGCGATCTAGTCTCCAACCGGAAGGCCTGGCCAAGGAGAGGACGACGCTCGCTTCCGACTCCGGCCCGCTTTTCTGACCGAAAGGCCTGGCCAAGGAGGGGACGACGCTCGCTTCCTACTCTGACCTGCTTTCTGATCGGAAGGCCTGGCCAAGGAGGGGACGACACTCGCTTCCGACTCCAACCCACTTTCCGACCGAAAGGCCTAGCCAATGAGGGGACGACACTCGCTTCTGACTCTAACCCGCTTTTCCGATCGGGAATACACCGAACCTCTGCTTACAACCCTTCTCCGACCGACGCGGTCGAAGCCAACTAGAAACGACAGAACGAGGACGCCCGCTTGGTGAGGACCCAGAAAACAGGCAGAGCAGATAAGGCAAGGCGCTCAAGTCAACCGCAATACCGAGGACCGTACCCTGCACACCTGCAGGACAGTACCGCCAGACCATGTCAGAAGGGTGCTTTGCAACCTTTCAGACATGTCAGAGCACAAACAGTGTTGTGGGCGCCGACATTTGTCCTACAGTATGGTAGACGCCGACATTTGTCAGATCAGAAGAACACGATGGAGCCCGGCACACGCATCTGGGCGTCAACAATATTATGGCCGCCGACAAACCGTCTTGTACCCAACGGCGTGGGCAACAAGACTAGGTAGCACACACTCTCTCTCCTAAACTTGTAAGGCCATCCCTTTCATCTATGAAAGGGGATGCGCTCTCTCCCAACAAAGGAGGATCATTCCGACTCTCTCTCTCTGCTAGCTTTAGACATTCTGAGCACTCGAACAGCTTCACGGCTCTAGAATTCTAAAGCTACACAGAGCATACGTTCCAATATATAGCGCACGTAGGAGCTCCCGTCACTCTCGGCCCTTCGGTCCAGAGTTCGATCGGACCTCCATCACCCCCATCTTATTCCCACTCGTTTGTAACCCCACAGCAAACTTCGAGCACCTGGGCTCAGAAATAAAGTCACCGACCGACTCAAACTGGACGTAGGGCACGTTGTCTGAATCAGTATAAACCCTGTGTCATTGAGTGCTAGTCCACATCCGATCACAACGTACGACAAAACTACAAATATTCATTTGTTTGTCACTTTTCGCACCGACACTACCAGAGCCTCTACCCGGGCAGCGGCGCAAGCAATGGAGGGGCAGGCGTGGTGGTTGGTAGCGACCCGTAGGTGCTCGATGAAATGCCAAGGTGACAGAATGTGAGGTGATGGAGCTAAAAATCACCCCAGCAAAGAAGGGGTGATTCTACCATACCAAGCCAGGCAACCAAACAAAAATCTACCAAGCCAAAGTTACATAGTACACTACAACCAAATAAGGGGTTCCTACTTAGATAATTTTGGCTTAGAGTAAACTGTAGCACTTTCGTTTTTATTTGGTAATTATTGTTCAATCATAGACTAATTAGGCTCAAAACGTCCGTCTCGCGATTTTCAACCAAACTATGCAATTAGTTTTTGTTTCGTCTACATTTAATGCTCCATACACGTATCGTAAGATTCGATGTGATAACTACTATAACATTTTTTTTAAGTTTTTTTTGTTACTAAACACAGCCTATCTACTGGGACCGAAGAAGGAACTCAACACACCCTATATGTGTAGCCCACGGGGACCAGCCTCGGAACATGCGTCATGTGACATAAGCATGATGAAATGTGCTGACCGTAGAGCAATGCCAAAAGGTGCAGATCCACCGTTCTAGTACCACTGGACCGTCTCTTTTCGCTGAAACTGAAACATGTGTCCCTTTGCTGCTTTGCTTAGCTGTCGGGGCCTTGAGGTGCCAATGGCCGGCCACCCAGCGGCCTAGCTCACCAGCGCGCACCGCTGCGGCAAGGTGGACGACCATCCACTACCATGCGGTGACCAACGACAACGAGCAACGACTGAACGATCCATCGTATCAAGGATTCACGATATGCCATGTACTCCCACCGTCTAAAACAGTGTGATTCTCAATACTCTATACATATTTATGTCACTGTACTAGAAAGCAGTGAGAAAATGCACCAAGAACGTCTTTTGAAATTTGGCCTGGAATTGAACCGTGGCATTATTATGGATCGTCCGGAAAAAAAAAACGCTTGCGATATGAGATTTTTTGTCTCGTTCGTGAGGAGATCGTGAGGAGCCCTTCTTTTTTCAAATTCGATGCGGTACGGCTTCGAGGTCTCACCACCGTCTTGCCTCTCACAACGTACGGAGTATGGTGTGGACACGACACGCCGCCTCTGCGTGCGTGACTCCAGTCGAGATGCCTGCCACCGTCCAAATGGTCCGCGACTCGTGCATCGAAGACAAATCGCATGGGTCGTGCGCGTGCGGCAGTCAAGTATTGTTCGTGGTCTCCGAAAATTCACGGGGCCTATCTCGATTCCACGCGTCGGACGGACTAGGATCTGCGTGGCACGGCTCAGCTTCAACAGTGAATCTTTTTTTTTTAATAGCTTTATGAGCAGCTCTCTGAATAAAATTGAGCTGTTTGGAAGAAACTGTTTGACAAAATAATTTTAAATGGTAGATAAATAAATAAAATTACTATAATACCCTTATCTCTATTTTTCTTTTTTATTTTATCGTCTTCTTCACGTACCCCCTCAGCGACGTCCCTCCCGGCGGGCCACACTCCCCACGGCGGACCGCGCCCCCAACGGCGGCGCCTCTCTCGGCAGAGCGCGCTCCCACGGCGGCGCCCTCCCGGCGGCTCGTGCCCGGCCAAGCCATTCCCCCACGCGAGCTGCTCCCCAGCGGCCAAGCCCGCGGCGAGCCACGCCGCCGGCAGCTGCGCCCCCGGCGGGCCAAGAACCGACGAGCCGTGCCCCTGTCGATTCGCACTCCGGCGGCCGCGCCTCGGCGAGCCGCGCTGCCGGCGGCTGCGCCCGGCAATCGTGCCCCGGCAGGCCATGCCTCGGCGGTGCTGGCACCTCCCTCGGCCGAGCATGCTCACTCTCTCTTCTTGGCTGCCAGTCCAGCCCCAACGGCCGCTCGCGCTTGCCCGTACAGCGACGGCCGCGCTCGCGAGTTGGCTCGGCGTCGGCGGCGGCGCCCGCCAGCCGCGACCTGGGCTCCCCGACGACCGCGCCTCGACTCCCCGGCGGCCATGCCCCAGCGCTCGGCGACCCCCAGCCAGCCACGGCCCGCCGACGGCAGCGCACCCTGGGCTCCTCGGCGGCCACGGCCCTGCTTCCCGGTGGCCGTGCCCCTGCATCGGCATCCGTGCTCCTGCTCACCGGCGAGCCGTGCCTCGTCGCCTCCGTCGTGCGTGCGCTCTCTCTCTCCGGGGGCAAAATGAGTCTTCTGTACCGTGGGGTTCACGTATGAGAGATGAAGCTGAAATAAGATATTATTTTTAGCTTCAACTCGTATCTCTGTGAGAGAATTTTTTTAGAAATAAGTGTTTAGAAAAAAAACAAATAGCATAAAGCTGTCGTGAGCTGCGCGAAACATGCCAGTTGCTCTTCCAAGCAAGCAAGAAGAGACCAGATGAGAAAATTTGTAAAATATATTGTAGCGACACGGTTTAATCATAGCCTAAATTAGCCAAGGTTTCGTAAATTATATAATTAGTTTCAATTTTTTATCTGCCAGGCGAAAATGTTGAAAAATTTGGCAAAATTCTGGGGAACTAAACTGGCTCCAGGAGACTTCACCGACTCGGAGAGCGTCAGATCACCCACCGACTCGGAGCTTCATCATCTGCAGCAGATCACACTGGCTTATCATCAGCAGCTCATCGTGCGGCGTAATAGGAAACGGCAGCCTATTTTCGAGATTATTATTATTATGAAAGAGATTATTGTATTAACAAATGCAATTGCAATCTAATAATAGATTGTTTTTCGTATCTGTTCTAAAGTAAATTGGGAAGAGATTGTTTTACATATCTATTTAAATCCATGTGTTAAAAGTAAATTGAGGGTAAATTGGGGTCGAACAAGAGTCTACTTAGGTGATATAGATGAGTCGCTATGGAACAAGAGACGGTCATCATTTTTTTCTATTTTCATCACAAAACTACTATAAAAAAGTTAGAGATGGAGAACAAATAAATTCGCAGGTTATTTTACTAACTTGGGATAATTATTTATTTAACAAATGATTTTTATAAACCTACTCCGTACTGACATCATGACATGCTTATTCCAACCCATGCTCGGAAGCATTTTCACAAAAAAAAAAATCACGCTCTTGGAATAGATTCCTGGCCTACACAACACATTCACATCCCCGGCAGAAATACTCTCGTCCGAAAAAAAAAATTGCAGTTCAATCCTCAATGGCAGCTCAGGGACGAACGCCACCGCATCTTCCGGGCCCACCCATGTGATCTACTACAACGTGGGGCGTGACCCCACCGACACATCTCCACCCAGACTCACAGGCACATGGTCCCACACAGCAATAAAGCCACAGATGGCCCACCGGCAGTGGAGAGACCGGGCGTGGCGGGAGCCAGCTGGCGACCACTTCGCGCGCTTCGAGGCAACTCCCGTCTCCCGCCCCCACGCCCGCAGGCCGCTTATCTTATCCACGACGGCAAAGGCCCACGTTTACCTGGGCTATTTACAGGACTGCCACGACCGGCCCGCCGATATCTTCTCCGTCGTCTCCGGCGGTTTACTCTGACGGCACAACGAACAGCGCGACTTTGAAGTAAAGTTTGAACTGGGGATAATCTGATTGAACTACCACAATTTGATTAGGAAAGGGATCAATGGAGAGCGACCAATTTACACAAAGAGAACAAGATAGATGGAGGAAAAAAGAGAGAAAGAAAAGACTGCTCTCCATTGCTTTCTTGCTCCAGCCTTCCTCACCAATCAAAGAATTTCCCCCCCGGTGTTTCTCTCCTCAAGGAACACCCTAACATAACATATTTCCACCAAAAAAGTTCCAGATAAGAATGCCAATGTTTGATCCAGAAGTGGTGGCCGCGGCCGGGCCAAAGAGGGAAAAGAATTAGCACGGATCATTGTCGTGAGTTCTTGGATCCCCTGGTGTAGCCGTAGTAGGACAGGTACCACTTGACGAACTTCTTGAGGCCGACGTCGAGGTTGGTGGTGGGCTTGTACCCGAGCTGCTCCCTGGCGAGGGAGATGTTGGCGTGGGTGAAGGGCACGTCGCCATTGCCGGGCATCTCGATCACGTGCTTCTTGGCCTTGACGCGGAGGTGCTTCTCCAGGATGGACACCAGGTTGGGCACCGTGACGGGCGAGGTGTTGCCGAGGTTGAAGATCCTGTAGGGCGCCGGCCCGCGCTTCTTGCCCCCCGTGCCGGTGCTCTTGCCGGCCGTGTCCAGGGAACCAAGGCAGCCCTTGAACAATGTCGTCGATGTAGGTGAAGTCGCGGGCCAGGTCGACGTGGTCCTTGCCGCGGTACACCGTGATGGGCTTCCCCTGCAGGATGTTGCGGGTGAAGGAGAAGTAGGCCATGTCGGGGCGGCCCCAAGGCCCGTACACGGTGAAGAAGCGGAGGCCGGTGATGGAGAGGCCGTAGATGTGGTTGTACGTGTGCGTGATCTCCTCGCCGGCCTTCTTGGTGGCCGCGTAGAGCGAGGCCGGCTGGTCGGTGCGGTCGCGCTCCGAGAAGGGGACCTTGTCGTTGAGGCCGTAGACGGAGGACGACGAGGCCCAGACGATGGCCGGCTGCGGGTCGGCGTCCTTGCAGGCCTCGAGGAGCGTGACGAGGCCGGCGATGTTGGAGTGCACGTACGAGGCCGGGTTCTCCATGGCGTAGCGCACACCGGCCTGCGCGGCGAGGTGGAGCACGTGGGTGAAGGGCACGACGTCGAAGAGCTTGGCAAGCAGCCGGCCGTCGTTGATGTCGCCCTCGACGACGAACACCCCGTGGGAGGCGAGCAGCGCCCTGCGCGCCTTCTTGAGCGAGGGGTCGTAGTAGGCGTTGAAGTTGTCGACGCCGACGACGCCGTCGCCGCGCTTGCGGAGCGCGAGGGAGCAGTGGGTGCCGACGAAGCCCGCGGCGCCGGTCACCAGCACCGACATCCCGGCCCCGGCGGCGGACCCGGGGGGCCGCCTCGGCGCGGCGGACGCGCGGATCTGCCGCTCCCAGTGCAGGCCGCCCCATGAGGCGGCGAAGTACTTGGAGGAGGTGTCGACGAAGGACTGGAAGCTGAGGTAAGACGCCGTCATGGCGACGAGGAACAGCGCCCACAGGAACATGGTGCTGGTGGACGCGAAGCAGCGGTGGAGCTGCCGGTTCATGGCGCCCGCCCGCTCGATCTTCACCTTGCCTGGGGTGGAGGGGAAGAGGTCCTCCTCCAGCACCCGCATCTTCAACGCCGCCGTCTTGCCGTGCGACGGACGCCCGCGCGACCAGATGGGTGCCTCTCCGCCTCCTCCTTCTCGTCGCAGATTCTGCTCGCTTCCTCGACGCAACGCAAGGACCGCAAAAGGCGTCGCCGCGGGGCAGGGCCGGAGACGCAAGGGATCAACCCGCGCCGCGCTGGACGGATTCCGGTTCTCCTCCTCCGACTGATTCACTGGCCGATTGGTTGATTATTCCTTGCTCTCCCTGGCCGGATAGATGGATCGGCCGCCGGAATGATAGATAGGTTTCCTTCCTTGGGAGCGAGGAGAGCGCGCGCCGGGTTCAGGAAATTTTGTTCGGGAGGAGAGGAGGAAGAGGAAAGGAGGGCAGGAGCTGGATGCGCGCCTGCCTAAGGAAACGTTGAGGTAGGACGGGATCGGGATATAAATAGGGGAGCGGGGCCGACAGCGACGGGAGCGCGTGAACGCGGTGGCGGAGCAGAGGGGGGGTGCCGCCGCTGGTGACGAGGAGGGGGCGGGTGGTGGCCGCGGCGGACGGGCGCACAGGATTTGCGTTGAGAAAAAAATATTATCTGAAAAAATACGGTTTATAAGTCAAACCCGGAGAGGGAGAGCTGGGCGGAGCGTCCGACGCGCTATTTTTGTGTTCCAGGCTCATCACATTTATGAGCGTTTTTACGCGTGGACGTGAATGTGATTTGTTGTCATTCGTCTGGGTAACGAGCCTGCGCGTGGGGAGATTTTTGTTTCTCGATTTAGAAGTTTCCATGTTCAGATTGACGATCTCGAGATGTATATATAGGGAAAAAAAAAAAAGAGTATTTGGCTACAACTTTAATCAAATCTGAAAAGAAAAACGGTCCATATCCTATCCAATCCACTCGAAGCAATAGGAAGCAATAGTTTATTGATTTTTTTTTCTGGCACTTTATTTATGATGTCACCGTGCCCGCCGTGTTGATTTTTTTCGTCTATATAAAAGCTACAAATATGTGTGATGCTGATAAGTATCGCTAGATTGATCATGTTGTTTTTTTTGTCTTTATGACGCTGATAAGTATTAGACCGTCTCCAATAACTACGACCCGAAATACAAAATCTATTTATCTTTTGGTAACACTACCAACAAAAAATTTAAAATCTAATTTTTATCTTCTTGAATAACCAGATCTAAAAGACAACCTATTTTACAAATAAATCTGAGAGAGAGGGACCCCTCCTATGGTCCGGTCGTTCGGACCGTACCCCGGGCCGGCCGAGCAGCGCGCTCAAATTTTGGCAGCCTGCTAACGCCGCATGAGGATTCGCCAGCAATTATTTTGCGCAGGCCAGGACACCCACACAAAGCCCCCACAATCTCGGATGCAGCAGCAGGATAGCTGGGATCGAGGGGGTTGGTCCCCACCTTAATTCGAGTTATTATATCATCGGATGTTTTGACACGTGTAAAGAGTATTAAATATATGTTATTTATGAAACTAATTGCTTAGATTGAAACTGTTTTTCGAGATAAATTTTTTAAGCCTAATTAGTACATGATTTGACAACGTTGTGCTACAGTAAACATATGCTAATGACAGATTAATTAGGCTTTATAAATTCGTCTCGCGGATTACTGGTGGATTCTGCAATTTATTTTTAGTACCCGAACACCCCATACGATACCTCTATGTGACACCTCCTGAACTTTAGTCCATGGATCCAAATACCCCCTTAATTGGCAGATTTTTTTTAATTTTAACATTTTTTGCAAACTAATTTTAAATCTAACACGACCGGTTTTTTTTAAACTAGCACTTTTGGCCGCGCCTATTGCCCTGGCGTGGCCAAATGTCTGTGCCGCGTGCATGCATGATGGCGCGGCACAGGGCTGACGTGGCGGTAAACTGGTCCGCTGACCGCTGACGGGGCAGGGCCTGGCGCGCCACCGATCTTGGCGCGGTAGTGCCGCGCCACGGAGCATGACGCGGCTGGGCCAAATAAAACCCAGCGACTAGTCATGCCAGGACTGAGGTGCGACGGCAGGCAACGCATAGCTGTCGATATGTCCATGCCAGGACTACGCTACCCTAGCTGTGCGCCGCTATGTTCTCCCACGGCTGGCGTAGTATGTCAAGAAAGATCCAGCTGATGGTGTTGCCCGAGGCGTCTGGGAAGAGGAAAGCACCAAGAAAGTGCCAGAGCCAAACTCGAGCGAACCTGTCGATCTGAGCCTCCTCAGCCTGTGGGTCCAAGTAATCAAAGCGCTCCGTGATCCAGGACGACGAAACACCGGAAGTTTTCCTAAAATTTACCAAACAAAATGAGACCCGATGGCTGCAGAAAAGCAATGCAAGTATTAAATAAGCTTCAATTTCTCACTTATTTTTCTTGGAAGCCTCGTCGTCTGGTGGAAGAAAGCCAGTAAACTAAGCCACTAACTCCCTCCAATGATCGTTATCAACTATCCCCGTCACTAGAAGCCCCTCCAATTGAAGGCCAAAAACAGCTTTCACATCCTGCATGGTCAATGTCATCTCGCCACAAGGTAGGTGAAACGTGTGAGTCTCAGGCCTCCACCTGTTATAAAAATAGAATGACTGTTACTTGCCTCAAATTTATTACAAGAAAGTTTACATACAAAGAATACACTCGCACCAGTCTACAGCTGCAGTAAGTAGTGCTGGGTCAAGGGACGAAAGACTGTGGTTGACAACACGGACAAGCTTGAGGAAGCCGGCACGCCATATGTACGGCGCGTAACGCTCGTCCCACCGGTGCTCCCTGGTGTGCGTGCGGGGCCTCAATGGAGGCATTGCCACCTCTGCATCGTTGTCACTCAAGATATGTGCTCGGTGCTGGTCGTCGTACTCCACCTCAAGAATGTGGTACAACATGTGTTGTGTGGGTGGGGACATACTGTTACAAATTGATAAACAAAGCGTTAAAGTATTCAAATTAACAAAATTCAAATTAACATTATGTAGCAGTGCAAAATTTAAACTGCTTGTTATGCAATACGAACACAATACGAAAGCACATGTATATATTCAAAATAACATTAACAAACATATCACGCACTTGTAACATAAATAACTTCACTAGGAATATAAGCATTTGACGAAACTTCATGAAATCATCAAAATCGACGTATCACGCACTTGTAAGTACCAGAATTTATAAACTAGTAGGTATACCCAAAATCTCTAACTAAATAACTAACTATAAACTAAATAATAAATACCTAATCAATCCCTAAACCTAAATTCCTAACTATACTAGAACACACAACCTCGAACCTAAAAACTACATACGTAAACCACAAAGAAATTCACTAACCTAACTAACATAAATCATTAAGTATCCTAAATTTGATAAACTATCATAAATCAATAACAATCATAAAATCCTAACTATCCTAAATTACTAACAATAATAAATCACTAATTATCCTCAATCACTAACTATCCTAAAATAATAATAATTAAAATAACATGAAATCGAGAGGGAGGTACCTTAGGAGCTGACGACCTTGACGCGCCGGCGTTCGTGGCGCGACCGACGCCGGCATTGCGCGGCGGGACTGGCCGGGCGCGGCGTGGGCGGGCGGGCGCTGCGCGGCAGGAATGGCTGGGCGCGGCGTGGGCAGGCGAGCGCGGCGTAGGCGGCCGCGGGAGCTGCGCGACGGCGGCGTAGAGGCGGCGGGCGGGCGGCCTCGCTCGCGGGGTTTTATTTGGCCCAACCGCGCCATGCTCCGTGGCGCAGCACTACCGCGCCAAGATCGGTGGCGCGGCATACCCTGCCCCATCAGCGGTCAGCAGACCCGTTTACCGCCACGTCAACCCTATGCCGAGCCACCATGCATGGCGCGGCACATGCATTTGGCCGCGCTAGGATAATAGGCGCGGCCAAAAGTGTTAATTTAAAAAAAACGTCCGTGTTAGATTTAAAATTAGTTTCAAAAAAGTGTTAAAATTAAAAAAAAAGTGCGATGGCTCACCCACGTCAGCTCTCATGCAACTATTTTCAACCAACTAAAGAAGTCATAACTGTTAAACCAAACATCCAAATTAAATTTTGATTACACCATCGGTTTTCTTGTAATAAATCCTTCAAAACAAGATCTCACATGAATATATTTCGATAAAATTTTATTAACGAACATTTATCTTATAAAGATAAAATATTTTATTTTATTGAGCAGAGATAATGTTCTAAGTTTAAAGAATAATGTTGTCTTTCGCAAGAAAGATGTTCTCGGTTTAGAAGAACGATATTCTAGTTTTAATTCATAAAATTAGTATTATAATATATAGATAGAAATAAATAAATAAATACCTAGCATAATTAAAAAATAATAAAATATAAAGCAAAGCATAAGGAAAAGGATTAAAAATACGTAATAGAGAAAAAATTTAAAAGAACATCACATCCATACTTTTCAAACATTCTAAAATATACTATAGAACATTCTATGTGTATTAAGTGAATATCACTAAATACATTATAAAACATCACATATATATTACGTGAACATCACTAAATATATCATATAACATCACATGTATAGTAAGTGAACATCATAAAATATCACATGTATAATACGTGAACAATACAAAAGCAATATAGAACATTATATGCATACTATATGAACATCACATAACACGACATAGACATTAAATGTATACCACTGAACATCATATATAAAAAAATAAAAAAATAAAATTATTAAAGAAATTAATTCGAGTAAAACAATAAAGAACAAAAATACATAAAAACTTGATTAACAAAATGATAAAAATATGGATAAAAACATAAATGAATAACTTAAACAAGGACGAAAAACAAAAAATTAAAAAGAAAGAAAAAATAAATTAAGAATGAATAAGCATAGAAAACTAAAAAGAAAAGAAAAAGAAAAGGAAAGAATAAATAGAAGCAAGAAAAAACAATAAAAATAAAATCAAAAAAAGAAAAGAAAAGATAAAAATAGAACATGACATGTGCAGTACGTGAACATCACA